AACTCAGTCCTATAATCTCAGCTACTTGGGAGATGAGGCAGGAGGATCACAAGTTCAAGGCTAGTGTGGGCAACTCAAAGAGAATCTTTCAAAAAAACTAAAAAGAGCTGGGGTGTAACTCAGTGATAGAGTGCTTTCTTAGTATGTGTGACCCCCTGGGTTCGATTGCCAGCACCACTAAATAAATAAATACTCTGGGGTATTTATTCCTCACAATTTACTGAACTAGTTAAATGCCCTATATAAGAAAAGCAAGATATGTAATCCCCGCAAGTGCCCAGAATGGGGAAAGAACTGGAAATAGTTGGCAGTAGGTACCACTGATCAATGCAATCTCAATCTTCAAGGGAAGAGAACAGTCATTCATTCATTTAGCAAGTCATTCTCTAACATCCACTAAGTTTCAGGTGACATTTTGGCACTGATGGTGCAACACATCTGTTGGACATGTTCATGGAGCCTTTATTTTAGAAGGAGAGCACAGCAGACAGACAAACAAATGTAGGTGTGACATGTGTGTCTAGGACAAAGTCCAGTAAGGGGATAGGGCATGCCAGGACTGCTATATTGGACCTTTCTTTCTTTCTTTTTTATTTGTTCTTTTTAGTTATACATGACAGTAGAGTGTATTTTGACATATCATACATATGTGGGGTATAACTTCCCCTTCTGTGGTTGTGCATGATGTGGAGTTACACTGTTCATGTATTCATATATGAACATAGGAAAGTTACATCTTGATTCATTCTGCTGTTAGGTAGACCTTTCTGAGGCACAGTTACACACAGGGTTGAATGAAGTAAGCCTTTTGTCAGTCCACGCGAGAGTGTCCCAGGCTGCAGGAACAGCAGGCACAGAGCTCCCAAACTTTCCCACCCCCTGAGTTTGTTCAATGGATGCATCCCCAGAATGCATTGTAAATACAAATCCCTTGTAAAATGTGAAATGGCTGGCATTGCTCTTTTACAGATGAGAAACTGGGACTCCAGAAGTCATGTGACTTTCTGATTCAGCATGCCTGGCTATCGGCTTGTGTTTTGTAAGATGGCTCCCAGGCCACACTGGGGAAATGGGGCCACAGCAGTAGGTAGTTAAAATTGTGTGACCTCCTCCATGACATTTCAGGGAAGAGGCTGTTTCTTTCCACCTTCCTCCTTCTCTTCTCGAACTTCTATAGACCTCAGCCTCTCAAAGAAATGGGTGTCACTGATGAGGAGTAACACCTGGTATCACTAGATACCACGAGCTGAGATGGTGACAATATTTTGGAGAATTAAAATATATCTGAAAGTCCCTTGTAAAATGTGAAATGGCTGGCATTGCTCTTTACAGATGAGAAACTGGGGCTCCAAACATCATGAGACTGACTGATCAGGTGTCATAGTCTGGACTCTAATCCGCTCAGATGCATAAATTTGCCTTTGCACTGCCCAGCTGCTGTGGGAAGAGAGGCAGCCAATCTCTGATCTGGCTTTGTAGGTACAATGCAAAGATCAGCAAAAATCTTTCCCCAGTTTTCTCTCCTTGTTGAAATCCTGCTCTTCTTTCCAGATCTGGTCCAAATTCCAGATCCTAGATCGAGCCTTCCCAGAGTCACTGAGTTTGAATTCATCTCTCCTTCTAGGCTGCATGAGTCTCTGTGTCTCTGACATGCACATGGTCCTAATGTAAGGTGCACTGACACTTTAACATTTTTATATCCCTTGCTTGGATCTTGGTCTTTCCCACTGTGTGCTGAAAAATGAAAGGGGCTCCTCCATGTTTAATGAAATACATTTAGCTGTACGCTCAGGACCAGGACATATCTCTTAGCATCCCTCTAAACCATGGCCCCTGTGCCCAGGGGTGGGAATGAAGGAATTGTTTGGTCTACGGAGAATGGAAGATAACTGAAAACCTGCTAGGCTGAATAGAAGTGGGAGTGAGGTTGGGAGTTCCATTTGAGATTCTTGTACATC